AGGGGCCAGCCGTGCACGATACCTGTCGATCTCGACTGTTATCCCTATAGCTTTATGTTACTGTTCGTGTTGCTGTTTATGTTTACTGTTACTGTTACTGTTTATGTTGATATACCACAGGTACTGTTTAGATTATATATGTTTACTGTTTATGTTATTTATCCCTGCTGCGCATGCCTAGTGTTACTGTTTATGCTGATATCCCACATAGGTTTGACCACTGGCGTTGTGTATTGCAAATGCTTGTTGTTATTGCTTGTTCTTCTGTTCACATCACGTTGCTGGATAATGTTAGTGTCATACGCTTCTGGGACCCTCGAGGCTGCTTTGGTTTTTGCATTGCACAATTCTCTACCAGAAAATGTGGGTCGATTTTTTCTGTGAAAGCTGAACCAATTCAAAACCAATTCAAAACCAATTTTCGGCCAACTTGGCCCACATGGCACAATCGAGGAAACAGAAGTCTCAAGGCTCGCGAGGCTCGGAGAGGCGCCGCTCAGCCGAGCGCTGCAGGCCCCAGGAGATGTCAAGAGTAGTGGCAGGGCCAGGTCCTCCCTCAGCGAGGGCGGGGGTTCCCGAGGGGAGAACCGCGGCTCGCAGAGAGACGAAGCGCCTGGGAGCTCAGGGGGGGGTCAGGGCCACAGAGTTCGCGCCACGCGGCCAAACGACGGCCGCAGGTGCCCGCAGGACCGAAGGAAAAAGGGCGCTCGGGTACAAAATCTTCGCGGCTCTCGTCAAGCAGCGTCTGGTGGGCGGTGGAGCAGAGGGCCGCTTGTCCAAAATTCAATTCCGATTCCGCACGGGGAAGAGCACGCAAGACGCGATCTGCATCCTGAGGCGCCACGTCGAGGCCGCGTGGGCTTCGCGCCATGGGAACTCGTACATCCTAGCCCTGGACTGGAAACAAGCATTCGACTCTGTTAATATAGAGGCCATGATGACCGCCTTGGAGAGATTCGGGCTGCCAGAGCACGTGAGGAGCGTCATTGCCGACATCTACACGGGACGAACGTTTCAGGTCAGAGAGAACGGAGTTACTTCGGCCGAGCGCAGCCAAAAATCTGGAATATCGCAAGTTTGTCCTCTCGTCGCCTTTTTTACTTGTCATGGTGATGACAGTAATCATGAGGGACGCAGAGGTCGAGCCGGGGGAAAGCGACGCACGCAGATTCGGTCAGCTGGTGTACGCGGACGACACGCTGCTGATGACGAGGACCACCGGCGACATGGAAAAGTGGCTCAACGTGGTCCAAATTGCAGCTGGCACGGTGGGGCTGGAGATGCATTGGGGCAAGTTGCAGTTTCTCAGAATCCGGTGCCAAGGAAAAGTCAGGACGCCACAGGGCGAGGAAATCACACCCAAGGGCACCTATCGCACCTCGGAACCACCTTGACCAACGACGGGAAAGCGGGCGGCGAGTTGACCAAGAGGCTTGGGATGGCGTTCGCCGGTTTCCGCAAGCTGCAGCAGTTGTGGGGCCACTCGAATATCGGTGAGGCAAGGAAGCTCGAACTTTTCAACGCCGTCATCATCTCGAAGCTATTGTACAGATTGTGCTCTGTTGTTCTGACCGCTGCGGAGAAAAAGGAAACTAGACGGGGCGCACTGCAGAATGCTAAGGACTTTGGGCGGCGTCAGACACCCGATGATTTCACGCGTGTCGAACGACTTGATACGAGCACGCACGGGCCAGCCCCCGTTGACGGCCATTCTGTTGAAGCACCAGCTCGCTTTATATGGCAAGGCGATACGTGGTTCAGCAGGAGACCCTCTTCGCGATTATGTTTTTTTCCCTGGGATTTTGACGCCGGTCACGGACGCCTTCGTGAGGAAAGTGGGGGCGCCACGGCTGGAGTGGGCGAAATGTTTGGGACCACATGCGTACCGGACATGCGGGGAAGGAGACAGAGTGCAAGATCTTGTTCAAGATCCTCTTGTTTGGAGACATGGATTGAGAGAGCGGTGTGTGTGTGGTGTATGAATGTGCGTTTGCAGACGCGCCTTGGGCGCATGGTTTTTGTCTGTCTGTCCCCCTCCTCGCCTAGCGTCTGAGGAGAAGGAAGTGAGGAGGAGGAGGACGAGGAGGAGGAGGAGGACGAGGAGGAGGAGGAACGGGCGGCCTGAGGGCCCAGGCGAGCCAGGCGAGCTTCGGGGGCCCGATCCGCCTTGGCCCCGAGGCGTAGAGGCAGCGGAGACTTAGACATTCGTTACAATAGCAGGCTTCCCCACCTCTTGCAGCCTGTCGTCTTCTCGTCCCTCCTCTTTCCGCACTCTCTGCGCAAAGCCTCTGGCGAGGCCAGTTCTCTGTTGGGGGTCCCACCCACCCACGCCATAAGAAGACGTGGTGCGGGGCCCAAGCCGAGTTTGCTCGGCCGCACTCGCCGCATAGCGGTTGGTGCGACGGCCCTTTTCCACGTGGAGTCAGTGGCCCGCTCCGTGAGAGCCACGAAGCTCGCGCCACGCGGCCAGACGACGACCGCAGGCGCCCGCAGGGCAGAAGGAAAAAGGGCGTTCCTCCTCCTCCTCCTTGCATAGCGCCTGAGGAAAAGGAGGTGAGGAGGAGGAGGAGGAGGAGGAGGAGAAGGAAAAAGAAGAAGAAGAAGAAAAAGAAGAAAAAGGGGCGGCCTGAAGGCCCAGGCGAGCCAGGCGAGCGTAGAGGCAGTGGGGGATTTGTTTTGTTTCCTTTCTCTCTCTCTCTCTCTCTCTCTCTATCTCTCCCTCTCTGTTGTACATTCTATACAGATACGCATATACACGTATGTATTGTTCTTTCTCTCTCTCTCTCTCTCTCTCTCTCTCTCTCTCTCTCTCTCTCTCTCTCTATATATATATATATATATATATATATATATATATCGGAGGTGGAGGGTGAGATCGAAGTGGAACGGAAGGCCCCTTTACCGGAAAATCGATTTCGGTTTCGTGTTCGTGCGTGCCGTGCGTGCGGGCGAGGCGAAGCTGCGTGGGCGGGCGAGAGAAAATCTCCTGTGGCTGAGGCGCGGCCGGACCAAATGATTCCCTTCCGGGCGGCCGGGGCCCCGCGGTGTCCCGCCGGTGTCCCGCTGGTGTCCCGTGTGGCTGAGGCGCGGCAGGACCAAATGATTCCCTTCCGGGCGGGCGGGGCCCCGCGGTGTCCCGCCGGTGCCCCGCTGGTGTCCCGATGATGGTGATGATTTTGATGATGATGATGGTGATGATGATGACGATGTTGATGTTTTGTTTTGATGATCGATAGTGACATCGGTAGTGATATCGATTGTCAGATCGAACGTGAAATCGAATGTCAGATCGCTTGTAAAATCGATTGTGAGATCGGTTGTGATACCGAATGTGAGATCGATGATGAGATCGATAATGAGATCGGCTGTGAGACCGAATGGGATATCGATTGTGAGATCGATTGTGATATCGATAGTGAGATCGATAGTGAGACCGAATGTGAGATCGATTGTGGAATATATTGTGAGATCGATAGCCAAATCGATTGCGACATCGATCGATTGAGTTAATAGTGCTATCACCATCGGTAATGTGATCGGTAGTGATTTCGATAGTGAGATCGATGATGGCACCGAATGTGAGATCGATTGTGAGTTCGGTTGTGATATCGATAGTGAGATTGGTGAGATCGATAATGAGATCGAAAGCGAGTTCGATAGAGAGACCGATAGTGAGGCCAAATGCGAGATCGATTGTGAGATCGATTGTGATATCGATAGTGAGATCGACAGTGAGACCGACTGTGAGATCGATAATGAGATCGATAGTGAGTTTGATAATGAGATCGATTGTCAGATCGAATGCGAGATCGATTGTGATATCGATTGTGAGATCAATAGCGAGACCGAATGAAAGATCGATTGTGGGATCGATTGTGATATTGACTGTGAGATCGATAGTCAGACCGATTGTGAGATCTATCGATTTAGATCGATTGTGAGATCGGTAGTGAATTCGATAGTGAGATCAATCGAGTGCGCCTTTGGTCCCTCCCCCCCACCTCACCTCCTTATCACCCGAAGGGTGGTCTATGCGGTAAATATACACACACGCTCGGCCTCTCCTTCTCGACCAAGTCGCATCCAAAATGCAGTTGTCTGGGCCAGATCACCTCTCAAGGGCGGCTTCCACCACCGCCCTGCTGGTGGGCATGGCGACGCTGATGTGGATCAGAATGCGCCGCTTCGCCCGCCACCGCGTGGGTATGATGCGGCACGGTCCCTCTACCATTGGGCAGCCAGGACCGCCAGCTCGTCGAGGAGACCATCAAGCCCATCGCCGATGCGACCTCCAGTCCCTAGGGCACATGGCAGTCTATCGTTATCTCTCTCTCTCTCTCTGTCGTTCTCTCTTTTTGTCTTTCTCTCTCTCTCTCTCTCTCTCTCTGCCAGCCTTCCCCTTCTGCACGTCAGTATTCCATTTCGGCTTCCGCACCCCCTCCTTGTTCGTCCTCATGTCTCCAACTGTCGGTTCCTGCTGCTGCACACAGCCATAAAGACAATGATGCCGCATTGCGTACACATGCGACATGAAGGCGCATGCACGATGAAGACGAGGATGAAGGAGGTCCAGAGGTCCAGAGGTCCACCGGCGTGCGCCGGAGCGCGCCCTGCTCGGGCTGCCGGAAAAAAAGGCTTCTCGCAGAACCAAAGTTATTGAATGCAACAGATTCCCGAACTGTAGATGACGACATCGTCCGTCCATCGCTTCAGCGGACAGTCTAGAAAGAGAAAGAGAAATGCACGCAGTCTAGCCCGCAGCCTCGGCGTAGGCGACCAGGGGGGGTCTCCACCTCATGTCCCTGATCGTCTTCTCTCCAACACGTCCTCCTCCTCCCCCTCTTACTCCTCCTCCTCATCCTCATCACTCCTGTTTCCTGGTCCCCCCCATCCTGCAAGCGCGCTTCGTCCCCCGCCACAAGCAACAAGAGGCCCCGCCTTTCGCCAGAAGCCGCACCGCGGTAGAGCCTCTCTGATGCTGCGTGGCGGCTCGCCGACGCCTCCTCGGCACAAGGCACAGGCCCGCGGCCGAGCCCACGGCGAGCGCGCTGGAGGCCCAGGCGCCAGACTGTCAGCAAAGCGCGAGGGGGGAACTCCTCCTCCTCTTCCTCGTCCTCCTCTTCCTGCTCCTCCTCCTCCTCCTCCTCCTCCTCCTCCTGGTCCTCAGCCGCCTCCTCTTCCTCGTCCCCCTCCTCCGCGGCCTCCTCTTGTTCTTCTTCCTCCTCCTCTCCTCCTCTCCTCCTCCTCCTCCTCCTCCTCCCCCCTCCTCCTCCTCCTCCTCCCTCCTCCTCCGCCTCCTCCTCCTCCTCCCGCCCCCCCCTCCCCCTCCCCCTCCCCATCCCCTCCTCCTCCTCCTCCTCCTCCTCCTCCCTCCTCCTCCTCCTCCTCCTCCTCCTCTTCCTCCTCCTCTCCTCCTCTCCTCCCTCCTCCTCCTCCTCGCCTCCGGCCTCCTCCTCTCCTCGTCCTCGTCCTCGTTCTCTTTCTGATCCTCCTCCTCCTCCTCCTCCTCCTCCTCCTCCGCCTCTTCCTCCTCGTCCTCATCCCCCTGCCCCCTTACACACAGGATGGGTCCGAGTTGAATTCATTGTGTGCTTTCCAATCCGCCTCCGCCTCCGCCTCCGCCACCGCCTCCGCCTATGCCTCCTCCTCCTCCTCCTCTTCCTCCTCCTGCTCCTCCTCCTCCTCCTCCTCCTCCTTCCTCCTTCCTCCTTCCTCCTTCCTCCAGCATCCCTCCTTCCGCCTCCCTCCTTCCTCATTCCTCGTTCCTTCCTCTTCATTTTCCTCCTCCTCCTCCTCCTCCTCCTCCTCCTCCTCCTCCTCGTCCTCCTCCTCCTCCTCCATCTCCTCCTCCGCCGCCTCCTCCTCCTCAAGTCCATCACCCTCCCCGTCCCCTTCCGTATCGTCCTCATGACCGTGATCCTGATCGTGATCATGATCTTCATCCTCAGCATCATCATCAGCAGCAGCATCATCATAATCATCGTCATCATCAGCATCAGAAGCATCAGCATCAGCAATATCAGCAACATCATCATCACCATCGTCAGCATCATCAACAGCAGCATCGGAATCCACATTAGCATCATCATCAACATAATCATCCTCATCATCATCAGCAGCATCATCATCATCAGCAGCAGAATCATCATCAGCCGCATCAGCATCATCAGCATCAGCATCATCATCATCATCAGCAGCATCATCAGCAGCATCATCATCAGCAGCAGCATCATCGTCATCGTCATCATCGACGTCGTCAGCCGCATCATCAGCAGCAGCATCAGCTGCACCAGCAGCAGCAGTATCATCGTCGTCGTCGTCGGCGGCGGCGTCGTCAGCATCACCAGCATCATCATCATCATCATCATCATCATCATCATCATCAGCATCATCAGCAGCTGCATCATCAGCAGCAGAATCATATGAATTACCGTCATCAGCATCCACGCCATCATCATCAGCATTAGCATCATCAGCAGCAGCATCATCGTCGTCGTCATCATCATCAGCATCACAATCAGTATCACCATCATCATCATCATCATCATCATCATCAGCAGCAGCAGCAACAACATCGTCATCACCATCATCGTCAACATCAGCGTCATCACCGTCATCACCATCAGCAACCGCGACATCATCATAACCACAATCAGCACCACCAGCCTCGCAATTACCGCGACACGCATCATCATTACCCGCACCAATCGTCAGCATCAGCATCAGCAGCTTCATCAGCATCATCATCCTCATCATCAACAACAGCACCATCATCAACCTCATCATCGCCACCATCAGCATCATCAGTATCATCATCAGAATCTGCATCATCACCATCAACCGCATCATCATCATCATCATCATCATCACCATCAGCACCATTATCATCATCATCATCACAACCATCATCATCAATGGCAGCATCAGCATCGTCAGCATGGTCGTCATCATCAGAATCAACAGCATCGCCATCAGCACCAACATCATCATCATCATCAGCATCAGTATCATCAGTCGCATCCTCATCAGCATCATCATCACTATAATCATCAGCGTCAGCATCAGCATAAGCGACATTAGCAACATCACCATCAGCGGCCATGTAATCAGCATAGTCACAATCAACACCACCATCATCGCCATCACCACGACACTCATCATCATGACCCGCCCCACTCGTCATCATCAGCACCATCAGCAGCATCAGCTCCATCGCCATCATCATCATCATTGTCATCATCAGCGTCATCGGAATCAGCACCATCATCATCAACATCATCAGCAGCAGCATCGAAATCAGCATCAGCATCATCATCATAAGCCTCATCAGCAGCATCATACTCATCAGCATCAGCAGATCGTCATCATCATCAGCAGCATCATCAGCATCAGCAGCATCATCATCGTCGTCGTCGACATCATCATCAGCATCAGCAGCAGCATCATCAACATCATATCTAGCATCAGCAGCAGCAGCATCAGCATCACCATCAGCATCGTCATCAGCATCAGCATCAGCACCATCAGCATCATCAGCATCAGCAGCATCAGCATTAGCATCTGCATTATCATCAGCACCTGCATGAGCAGCATCATCACCACCATCGTAACAAGCGTACTCATCATCATCATCATCGGCATCATCAGCATCGTCATCAGTATTATCATCATCAGCATCACCGTCATCAGCATTATCAGCATCATCAGCATCGTCATCGTAGCGATCGTCATCATCAGCATCAGCATCAACATCATCATCATACTTAGTACCATCATGTTTTTCATAGTCATGGTCATCGCCACCATCATCACAATCATCAGCATCAGCATCATCATCAGCAGCATCAGCAGCATCAGCATCAGCATCCTCATCATCGTCGTCGTCAGCCTACTCGTCCTCCTCCTCATCCTCCTCCTACTCTTCGTCCTCCTTCTCCTCCTACTCCCCCTCCTCCTGCTCCACCTCGGCATAATCGGCAGCAGCAGCAGCATCATCAGTCATCACCACTATCACGACCATCGCCACCTGCAGGGCTCTCCTCCTCATCATCTCCGCCACCGCATTCCTCGCTCGTCATCACCCTACCCTCCTTGCCCTCTCCGTCTCGCCGCCATCCTCGCCGCTGCCCTCCTCGTCGGCGACGCCCTCATCAACCCCCATCCTCGTCGCCCCCATCATCGCTCCTTGTCGTGGTCCTCTTCCTCGTCCTCGCCTTCCTCGCAACCATCGGTATTATCGCCGTCGCCACCCGCGGGGCCTGCGCGCCCTCGCCCGCGAGCTCTGGCGCGGCGGCGACGGCCTCCGCGCCCAGACGGGGGGGGGGCGCGAGAACTCGATGGGGAAAGCGAAGGGATGCCGGTGGGATGTCGAAATCTTCCCCGAGGGTAGCGCGCGCACGTCCGTGCACGCACCGCTGACTACGGACCCAGGGCCACCACTGAGGTGCGCACTTCAGCCCCCTTCACGTGAGGGACGAAGCCCCCCTCCATGGCCCCTATGGCCCGAGCCCCGTGGACCCCTGGCTTTGTGCAGGGTCGGGACAACGATTTGAGCTGCACAGACGTGGCAGCTCCGCAGACCTGGCACCCGACAACCGCAAAGTGGTGGCGGTCGAGCGCCTGATCCGTCTCAAAACGCACAAGCTTGTGGCCGTTGAGCCCGTCAGAAATGATCCGACGATTGGCCTCCACGGCCCGAGACACCATGGCACCAGGGCGCTCCGCCTTGGAGGGCGACAGAACACGGCACCGCAGGCACAGCTTGGCCCCCTCGGGGCCGATCAGTTCGTGGCCAAGCTTGGGAAACACCAACTGCAGCACAGCCGCCTTGTTGGGCCTAGCGCCAGGCCTCAAAACAACGGTATCTTGCGAATTCACGGAGGCACCAGCTCGCGCAATGAAGCGAGCCACGTCCTCAACCATAACTTACGCGAGCTGGAATCTCTCTCGATCTGCAGCCGCCAGTCTACCTCGACTGGCCGCGAACTTCGCCCAGATGTCGGCCGAGAAATTCCCGAAACGATCGCGGCGAGAAATCCGTCCGCGATCGACGCCAGCTTCGGAGAGGTGGGCTCGGACCCTCCGAACCTGGAGCCCCTGGGGCCCGATCCCTCCAAAGTCCTCCAGGGCGGCCCAGAAAACGCGCCAGAGTTCGGCCCAGGCCGCCGCATAGGTCGTTGTCCCTCGAGGACCACGCTCTATGCCGTCGGTAACAATTTCGAGTCCGTGACCGCACAGATGGGCGGGACCGAGACTCGCAGTAACTTGACAAGTGCGAACAACTCTGCGCCGTCGATGTCACGAAAGGCGAAGGGCAACCTGCCGTGCACCATCGCTGATGCCCAGCGGGTCAGCTTCATGCAAAACCACAATCGCCCACCCTGCCGAGCTCACACCGCCCCACCCCCAATCGAAGAGCGAGCCGTCCAGGAAGGCTTCGCGGGCGCACAGGACGACGCCTCCAGCATGCATCTGCCACGTCTCGCAATCATCATCGGGGACTCTGAATGAGTCTGGCACGGGGGGGCGATGGCCACAGCCCGCGCTCTAGCAGGCACTTGACCTGCGGGCACGGCAGCCTCGCGAGCAACATCTGAAACCTGTCGGGCATCGGGGGGCGCTCGCCCTCCGCAAGCTCCCCCTGACACTCGCAGCGACGGTGGGCCAGGGGCCCGGTCCCAGGGCAGAGGAGACAACCATACACGCTACGTAGCCAGCTTCGCGCTTCCTCGCCATCGGCCACTGCCCATTAATCAACGCACTCCTAAGATACGCACGCTCCTGCAAGGCCAAACTGCCTAGGTCCCTAGACTGGTGGCTCTGGGGCCGCGAACCTTTCAGAAAACGAAGAAGAGGTGCTATCACAGCACCTTTGCCCAGATGTTCGCACCCTTCAGCACCGGCAATCTTGGCCCACTGCCAGGCCTCAATCCCGCGGACCAGGAGTTTCCTGAAGTGCCAGTCCGAGACGTCCCGAACATCCACATATCCTCCATCATGCGTGACCCAGGTGAGCACATCTTGGTCCGAGAACTTCCAGGAGATCCGATCGGGGGACAGCTTGACGGCCCCGAAAGGCCCTTGGACCTGGGACCACATCTGAACTTTCTTGGCCGCCATGAGCCCGTCCGACACGACCTTCACGGGGATCCAATCTTCCCGCAGAGCACGCGCGAGAGCCAGGACTGGGGGCAGCGTTGCCCGAAAAATAGGATCGAGCTCCTTGCCCAGCATGGGCGCCATCGTCCTGGACTTGCCTGCACCCTGCCTCTCGATCGCCGAAACTATGAGATTTCACATCGAATCCAGCTCCGTAGCCGAAGTACATGTCACCGAAGCCCCATAAGAGACACCTGCATCCATTCCTGCACGCGCCACAAGCTGGGCTGCCACTCTCTGAAGGGGTCCACAACACAATCTCTGAAGACGACGTATTTCGACCGCGCCGAACAAAGTCGTTCATGTCTAACCCGTCGAATAACACGACGCCCACAGGCGAAATCAACCCCGAGGTTTCTTTCACGTCTGGACGCCAGGGCCCCGATACAAACAAGTTGCCGAGCGATATCCGAACGCACCTCGCTGCTGCTGGACATCACACGCGTCTTGTCATCGCGCAGCTGTAATTGGCACGCACCCAGTTCACGTCGCAGCGCCTTAGACGCCTGAACTAGTTCTCGAGTGACGACCTTACTCGAACCAACTCTACGAAGAAAAATAGCATCAACCACCACAAACGGAGCCACCGGCCGTCCTAATGACCGTACTCGGTCGAGAGGTTGGAGTAGGGCAAGCTTGAGGAATGTGGTGGCCCATCCGTCGCCAGGCAAGATGGTCTGATCGACCTGCAGCTCGTCCGAGACCACGGTGCCGAGGGCGAGGAACCTCGGCGCTCTGTACAAAAGAACCTGGAGCCGCAACTCCCAGAGGGGAAATCCTGTTCTCAACGCCGCCTCCAGGAGCCAATGGTGCTGAATATGTTCGAGAGCTCCCAGGAGGTCCATCATCACCTGGGCCGACGCCCGCGGGCCTGCCTGGGCCCCTTTGCCTTTCACCGCGGTCCATTCGGACCACGCCGACTGTTGCCACACGGCCCGCCCGCGCGATTTCCCAGGGGCAGCCCAGAAATAATGCCGAGCATTCTTCGCACCCCACTCGTTCGCGATGGGCTTTCTCAACCTGGCTTGGACCCCGGCGACGACATGGAGCAGCGCGATGGGGCGGACCCCGCCCAATCGCTTAGCCAAAAACGCAATCTTCGTAACCAGCATCGGCCACTCGGCCGCGGCCTCGATGGCCAGGATCAGGTCGATCAAACATTCGACCACGGAGTCGCACAACTCGCGTAGCTGCCTCGGCCTGACGGGGCAGAACCCCATCCCAGGCATGGCCTTGAAGGACCTCAGGACCCTGCGCATGTAGTCTAGCGTCGGCCGATGGGGGCCTCTCCCCAAGATCCCCAGGCCAGCGAAGTATCGGATGCTTCTCCCCCAGCTTCCACCAACGACCCCAAGTTTTCTGCGACTTGTCAACCTCTTGCTGCTTATTGAGGGGCTCGGCGGGGTCCTCGAAGTCCATGGAGCTACTCTGCCAGCCTTGGGGGCCCTTAGAAAGCGCGTGGAGCCCACCAGCACCTCCCACAGATTGCTCCGAGACCCACCTCTTGAATGTCGCAGCACGCCGCTGCAAATCGCGTCGGGCCACGCGCGAGGCCCCTCTCTTGATATCCTGACTCATGAAGTAGACTATATGCGGGTCCAGGTCCCAGACGGGGAGGAAGGTAACCAGGGCCCACCAGATATTGCCAATGGAAGGACCACCCAGTCGTACACATCCAGGAACACCCCGAATCAATTTTCCCACCGTTCGAAGCGCATTGACCCGTGTGATAGGTTGCCCCACCTGAGACGCAAACGACATCGACGCACCCAACTTCCGCAACCAGATGGCCTCAGGGGGACACCGTCGGGAATTTCGGCGGCAGGGGAGGCTGCGAGCGAACCCACTTAGGACGGGGAAGCTGCGCTCTGCCGACATGTTTCGAACGGTCTTCTTCGACTTGGTGCACATCGCACCACTCATGCTCCGCTGCCGTGATGAACATCTCCCATCCCTTGGACGGTTCCCCAGCTCCTCCTGATCCCGTGGGCATGCTCTGACGAATCTGCTCCCAGATATCGTTGAAGTCGGCCGAGGCACACCCGACGGGCGAACTGCTGGAAACGGTCGCGGCACGGGCATAACATGCATCCACGGCTGGCTCAAACCCGACTTCAAATCCAAGGAGACTGCCGTGTGGGGGGCCATCGGGATTAGGGCTCCGTCTGCACCTGGGTCGGTACCTGGTGGTAAGAAACGATGAAGAAATCGATCACACGACAAGCCGGCGCACATGTGCCCACCTGCGGGGCCCACACCGGACACGGCAGAAAATCAAAGAGACCAGCCTCTAGCAACTCCTGCGGGGTGGCATTGAAGTCGCGCCGATGATGAACGGCTTGCCTATAGATCGCACACACTCAGAGATGTCCAGCAGGAGACTAACATTATCAGGCAACATACCCTGCCCCACACGCAAGTAGACATTCACCACGACGACGCCCTGCTTCACAAAACCAGAGTGACATGAAATAGACGCCCTTCCTGTTGCAATCATGGCCGTTCTACCATCTTCCACGAACCCAAGGCCGTGTCGAACAGGTACGAGCGTGAGCAGCCCGCCAGATCCAAGTAGACCAGGCTCACACCCGTCTGCAGGGAGAGCGAAAGCATGCCATCCAGCTTGGACTAGCTTTCCGACTGCATCGTCTCCCTGTCGCTGCCCCAAGTGGGTTTCTTGCACAAAGATCAATCTGCCTGTCTAACCAGACAAATCTCCAACAGCGGCTCGAAACTGGAGTAAGCATTCACGTTCACCGCTAGCACCTTCCACTTGAACTCGCGCTGGAAGCCGCCCACCAACACTGGGCCTGTCGTTCCCGAAGGAGGCTGAGCATTAGTCGACGACCTCCCCTGGGAGGCGCGGGGGCTGGCCGTCGCCCCCCCCCCCCCCTGGCCGCTGCAGCCTGGCGGTTTGAATCCGTCACGAAGGGAAATACCGTGCGCATCGTCTCCTGAGCCTGCGGCAATGTCAGCAGGCGGCTGTCCCCCAACGCCCTGACCCAGAAAAACGCGATCCAGCGGCAGGAGAGGCGGCGCCTCCCGACTGCCCCGACTGGGCAGCGTTACTGCCCAAGGGGCCGCCGCCTTGTCGGCCCAGGGGCCGCGCCTCTCCTGCAGATGACCCGATCCGAGAAAGTCTTTCCTCTGAGAACCGGGGTAAGATGACAAAGGAATTAAGACCTCATGTTCACTCTGCTCAGGGAGAGAGGGGACGGGATGAGACATTGATGAGACAAGTATCCGCTAAGCATGACTACTCTCACAGGAATGCGAAGGGAGGAGGCCGGCTGGCCTACGACAGACGACGCACGACGGCCGAGGGCTGGGGCGCTCCTTTTCTCTCCTGCAAGCCAAGGTTGGCTTGTTCGAGCAGTCATGCAGCTGCGGAATGCAGCTGTTAGTTCCAGCGGACAGGGCGATGCATGCAAACTAAGTTATAGCTTAAATTAATTTGAGGCGGAGAGGAACTTATTTACTCCCCCCGCGGCGGGCCGCGTAGAGCCCATCCAGCCACAGCATCCCCGGCCTGTAGATGTGCACAACCACCGGAGCCAACCCGAAAAAGCTTTTACAGCTCAACGGTGGCTGCCAGGGGGCCAAGGGCCGAAAAGGCTCGACGTTTCCCACCATTGTGATAAATAAATTCTCTCCGCTGGGCCGGCTTAGCCGTCCAGCAGAGGTGTCCGCGTCCAACACGTGTTCCGCGCGTGGAAAAATTGTCTTGCATGCGCCTGCCGCGACTGAGTCACGCGGGCGAAACTCAGTTCAAGTCCTGTCATGGGTTGTGCTCGTCCTCTCGTCTGGGCGGCGCCAGAGGCGGCGGATTTGACGACGCCGATCCTCCCGTTTGTACTTCCACGCCACGAGGCGTGCGAGACCGCCCTCTTTCCCTTTCAGTGTCGCTCATCGGTGCTGTCCCTCTTGGCGGGAAGCGGATGCCGTGCTCCCATGTTGATAGCTCGTGCCAGTAATTCAGAGTGTACCACTCGGCGTCGGTAAGCCACGTGATAAAGTTCCGATGGACGTAGTACCCAGCAAGGGTTCCGTTCACGTAGCGCGGGTAGGAACTGGACGGGTCGCACTCGTAGCTGTTGCCCGCAGCGCTGCTGGCAGCATCCGCGGCCGCACCTGCGGCAGCACCCATGGCCGCGCCGGCGACAGCATCCATGGCAGCGCCAGCGGCAGCACCCATGGCCCCATCGCGCGCGCGTTGTGAATCCGACCGATCCCTTATGTTGGGATATTGTGGGCTTGTCTCCCTGGTCGTCACGGCTGAGCCGGCGACTGAACGCGGGGATTCGGTGGCTTCTTCGGGTACCCGAGCGTCTGAGATGCCAAGTCGAAGAGGCGGAGGGCGCGATAAAGGTCTGGCCTTTGGTCCAGCCGGCGCATGTGGCCCCGCGATCTCGGCTTCGCCGTCGTGTTCAGGATCGTTATTCCTACGATCGTTCATGAATTGTATTAAACTCCTGGCAGCAGTTGCTGCAGCGACACCGTATTTTCCGCATGCAGTACGGAAAGGTCCATAATCTTTGTCCTGGAGTCCAGCACCAGGGTCAGGATATTTATCCTGGAGCCAAGAAATGGCGCCCTGCATTAGAGCACCGCGGCAACGGACATCGTTCTGCACTTTCCTGCCCATCTTGTGGGCACACTCTATATCGTCCGTTTTAACAGCCGCACGGATGCGGCAGTCCAAGGCAAACTCGTCGGTCCGTCTCTTCGAATCAATTTCTTCCGTGCTCACCATTTCGGGACGAATGATTCGCCTCGTGTAACCAATAAAGTGATCTTCCGATATGAAGAAGCTGATTATCTCACGAACAATTGCGAAAATCCTTATGGGCCGAAGGCCCAATTGCATTTGTTGTACTGGTACCAACCAACTGTCACGTACTATGGTCTGGATGATCTCCGGGATCACGTATTCTGCCGTTCCGGTCAGGGTAACCCTGCCGGGGTTAGTAGGGTTTGTTCCTGTGTGTTATACTATGTCATGGGCGGCAATTTCTCTAACTTCTCTCCCGAACAATCTTATCTTGCTCAAAGGATCGTCGTGGTGAAAATACACATGTCCCTCA